CAATAAGATAAAAATAGAATACAAATACAAATGCTATATACAACTGAGTAAAAATACAACGATGACAGAAAGGATTATTGCACTTAGTATTATTGCATATGTATGGATGTGTGTGTTTGATCAGTTAAAGTTTTTATTATGGAGTCTGACAGCAGTGGGGAGGAAAGACCTGCGAAATCTCTCCGTCCCACACCGTGGGTGCCGCATTCTCCCACTGAAGGAGCTGCTCAGTGCTGTCACAGTCTGCTGCATGGGGTGGGAGATGTTGTCCAACAGGGATGACAGCTTAGCCGCCATTCTCCTGTCACTCACCACCTCCACTGGGTCCAGAGGGCATCCTAGAACAGAGCTGGCCCTTCGGATCAGCCTGTTCAGTCTCTTCCTGTCCCCAGCAGAGATGCTGCCGCCCCAGCAGACCACACCATAAAAGATAGCAGAAGCCACAACAGAGTCATAGAAGGTCTTCAGGAGTGGGCCCTCCACTCCAAATGACCTGAGTCTCCGCAGCAGGTACAGCCTGCTCTGCCCTTTCCTGTAGAGGGCGTCTGAGTTATGAGTCCAGTCCAGTCTGTTGTTCAGATGAACACCAAGGTACCTGTAGCTGTCCACAGCCTCAATGTCCATACCTTGGATGTTCAGTGGTTGAAGTGGGGAATGCTTGTGCCTGCGGAAGTCTACCACCAGTTCCTTGGTTTTACTGGCGTTGATCTGGAGGTAGTTCAGCTGGCACCAGTCCACAAAGTCTTGAGTCAGTCCTCTGTACTCCTTGTCATCCACATCAGTGATGAGGCCGACTACTGCAGAGTCATCAGAGAACTTCTGCAGGAAGCACTGGGTGGAATACCACCCTGACAAAACCTGCCTCACAAGCAACACAGTTTAAAAATACAATTTAATTAAACGGATGAATTACTTAATATTACATTAATATACAAAAAAAAAAAAAAACCTTCAAAACCTGTCGTCCTCGCGCTTCTTTGGTTTAACAATGGCGCCATCACCTGGTACATTTTAGTAGCTACGTTCAAACGTCATCACGGCGCGACAAGGAAGCGCCTCTGTGAGCGTCCTTCACTTTGCTCTACGCTACAAACACCCGAGCAGGTTACAAAAGTCTGTCGTTTGTGGAGTACAAGTAGCTCTGTGCGGGTGGTCGGGCTTTATAGAGTGAACGCGGGAGACTGAAGGGAGACGTGCTCTGAGAGGTTTCCGCGTTTTTATTCAGTGAGTGACGTTTAGCTAAGTTTATACAGATGAAGTTGGTGTGGCAGCTACCGGTGTTGTGCCACAAAAGTCATTTCTAATATTTCTCTGCTTTTTTAGTGCCCAATATGTTTGCTTATATTGGTAAATAAACTGTATTCAAGAGGATTTATAAAGGTGTTATATATAAAAAAATAATGATTATTTTGCAAGTATTTTTATGACTCTTTGTATTTGCACCCACATTATATCCAATCAGTTAGTCCAGTCATTTACAACAGATGAAATATAGTCATTTTTGGCAAATACCGGAAATTAATTGTTGTCTGACTTTTTGCCACAGCACCTGTTGTTGTGTAAGGTTGCAGTCTGGTATTAAAGCAGGCTTAGAAGATGTGCAAGTTCTTTTAAAATTTCTGTTTTATTGATGATTAATTTTCTCTTTGTGTTTGGGGCAGTGATGACAGCTCCAAACTCAGCAGAAAGGAAGACCTGCTGGGATGCCAGGGATCATCTCTGGAAGTGTTTGGATGATAATGATGACAATTTTGCATCGTGCCAGAGGTTCCAGAGCGAATTTGAGGCCAAATGCCCGGCCCAATGGGTAAAATATCCCATCTTTTTTATTAATGGTTGAAGTTAGGGTTGCAGATAGTGTCGATAGTAGTGTCACAGATGAGCAGCTGACAGTGTTTATTGGACAATTTTGGAAACTAAGTTAAATGTAGACATTTAGAGAACATTTTAAAGAACCTAAGCAGCAACAAGATTGTCAGCCTTCAGTAGCTTCTTGCTCCTTTTCATTCTCCCCTGCAGGTGAAGTATTTTACCAAAAGGAGAGACTTCCTGAAATACAAGGAGAAGATGCAGACCGAGGGATTCACACCTGCTGAAGGCCCCCAGGGGGCATCCTAATCACCTAGAAACCATCAAGAGCTGCAAGCTGGCCTGGGTTTGCTGAGGTGCAGGACTTGGACAGGAGCTTGTGGCTTTGTTGCGGACAGAGTGCGTGAAGATCAAACTAATAATGTTATTTATTTTTAAAAATAAAGGCTGCTTTAGGAAATACAAGTGGCAGCACAAGGGACCTGTTTGAAAATCCTCATATCTTCTATCCCCAGAAATGCTAAAGAGTCCAAGGTTATGGAGTCCAGTAGGATTTCATCTCAAAGTAACGTGTCATTTTGGACAGATTTTAGTATCGTTACCTCCTGCTGGAATTCTGAAGTCTCACATTCAACCTGTTGCCATTAGTTATCATAACACTGTCCAATATTAATGTTTCTGTGGTTCTCTTCAAGCTAAACAATTTTTTCCCTAACACGTCTGTATTTTTCTCAGCAGAACAGAGAATCTGTTCTGGTGTTTTTCTTAAAAATATGTGATTTGCAAATAAGAGCTGATCTGATAGTGGAGATTTAAACTCTTTACTCTCATTTTTTGAAAATCTTGAAAGCTTGAATGACTTGTGTCGTTCAAGAATAAATCAAAACAACAGAGTGGTTTTAGTGGTTTTATTGTTGCACATGAAGTAATATTGGATCATCTTGACTCCTAGGTTGTGTTGTGGCTGGATATGAATGCACTATCAGGGTCAAACAAAACTTAAGAATGTTACAGCTCATTTGAAACAGGCAAGGACATAGTATGCTTAAATTACAAGTCTTTAAAGTATTTACAGAAGAGCGTGGCCCCTGGGTCAAAGGTCACTGCTGTAACACGACTGAGATGTACGAAACCTTCAGGAGAAGTCAATAAATTACACAAGAAAAAGACATGCTTCTGATTGAGGCTACGCTAAAGGCCCATACTGTACTTACAATGCCGTGATATAAAATAAAAAAAAGTGACTAATGACACTTAAAATCTGTTTACAAATATATAAAGGCATATATTTTACATTTTTGCACAGTACAGTGAGTGTTCTGTGCAAACCTTTTTTGTGATTTGACAGTTGATTGAACAAACTACTACACCCTTCCACTCCTTGCTTGCACAGTCTTTTCCTTAAATGCTTTCTTTGCGTGCTGCATTAAAGAACCAGTACCCAGAGGGAGTCTGCGGCCTCCCACAGTGGCATTTCATTTTTTTTCTTTACATGCCAGGAGAAATGTTGCTCCTCCCAGGAGACAATGAAAAAGTACAAAAAGCGGTCACGCTATGGTGCGACAAGTGAACGATTTCGTGAAACCAATTTTTCTGCAGTTACTAAAAAAGCTTTCTGTATTTCATAAAGATCCTTTGTTAATGTTTGAGCGCCACAGTTAAAGCTCATACTTCAATAAGTAGGTAAATTATCTTGTTCGACTTGATCTACCTTTAAAAATTTCCAGATCCTTTCAACATGTGACATGAATGCAAATCAGGAGCGCAGAGACAAAGACAAAGACCCTGCTGGGTTCACTGGGTAATGACCAGAGTTGGTCTATAAGCTTCTGCAATTAGGAAAAGAAAGTTCTGGCATAGGTCGAGCAAAAAGTAACTGAAGGCAGCTCAAGTCTTTAGCATAAATACAGTACATCTTTTCTAAACTTCGTTATGTTATGTGATTGAAGGAGAAAGGTAAAAAGGCTGGTTGCAGTCGAGTAGTCACAAAACAAAACAACTTTTATGCCTTTCTGATCATTTTTCCTTGGCCTTCATGGAAGTAAAAGAACCGTGGTCCTGTGCTTCCAGCTGGTCTTCTGAGGTAACATTAAAACTGACACACTTTAAAGGGCACATTAACCTGATTTTTTGAAAATGGACTTTATTGAACCTTCTGACAATTATTGTTAATTATTGTTAATTCATAAAATAATCATTTGAATATCTGAGATTTAAATTGTGCCATATTTGCTACATCAGATCTTTCTTTTTTTGCTTAAAAATGTACTGTGCAATTTCTTTACAATTTGGGGGGGGGAGGTCACACTGATGATGTAAGACATTTCAGAAACTCACGTATCATGTCTATGATACACTAGGAGTCACACTTTTATTTGCCAGATGGCTGGTGGAGTCAGGGAATATTTTTCCTAGCGGTGGGTCCCAGGGGGTTGCCGACTGGTCACCACCAGGGCATCTCTAGATATGCTAAAGGAAGCCCCCTTATTTAGTATTTACCATTTAAGCTGCTCTTGTTATGGCTGCCAGGTGCACATCATTCATTTTATGAATCTTCCTAAGCAAAACTGACTAAAACTACCCCAACCAGGGTGAGGATGAGGGTGGAGTGTGCTTTGACATCACAGGAAGACATGAACACTGTTGGGATAAGAAGTTTGATAGTAGGTCATGTTAAAATTGTAGCGTGTAAATTCATTAACACAAGGCACTGTAAAAGGCACTGCAGTGTTTGAGTAACATGTAGCAACAAGAATTGTAACGTTCACAGCATTTTAGGACACAAAAGCAGCTTCAGAAACTTTGGTAAGAATGTGCATGAAATGTGTAAGGAAGGCCCACGGTGTTCAACGTAAAAAGTACAGTAGCTCTACATATACAGTACACTGGCAGCCACGGTAGATTTCTCTTTTCATGCTCTTTTCTCGCTTTAATCCAGCAACCACTTCTTCCCTCTTACACGAAAGACAAGACCGATTTTTTCCAGAAATGCTGAAATGTGTTCAATTTAGTTGTAAAAAGTATATTTCATTGGAAATGTTTAAGTTCAGCAAACATGCAATAAAAAGAGACTTGTCTACAGTGGCCTTGTGTAGCTTATTTCTATCTAAAAACAGTGAAATGAAAGGATGTTGTAGATCTGAAAATGTATTTCAGGTTTACTGTAAAACTGTAACTTATCATTTTTCTTCTACTACAAATCAAAAAAACTAAATCAGTTCTTGATTTTTAAAGGTTTCAGTTGGAGTTTAATGTCCTCCAGTGGCCAGAGGCGTTTAACATTCCTTGTAACACACCAGTATGGCCAGTATATAATAGTATATCTAAGCAGCTGGTGAGGGTTGTTTCTCCACTTCTTCTCCTTCTCACCACATCCATGTTCTTCTTTTAAGGTCTGTTTAATCAGTATAATTCTGAGCAATCGCAACACTTGCCCAGTCTCTTCCTCATCTGTTTTTGAGTTCATCCCCGCTTTGTACCACCAGCACCTGCCCACTGTTAGTTATAAGCTCCCAGTGACATTCCTGGCCAGTGCCCAGGCTGGGAACTCAGTCAGATTGAAGAGTGGAACCCCCCAGGTGGTGATGGCCAACATTACCACCGCCACGCCAATCAGATTCACCCCAAAACCTGCTTTGACCTGGAGATGAGGAGGAGAAAAATTACTTCAGTAAGCATCAAGAGTTTCTGTTTGCCACATAGTACGAAATAAAAAGAGCCTCAAATTGGATACGCTGTTCCCGGAAGTCTTTTTGATTCCGCAGGTGCAAGAAGATTGTGGGACAGTGAGTGTGTGTTTGTGTGTCGTACCATGTCCCTGATCTGCACGTGGCCGTAACTGAAGACGATGGCGTTGGGGGGGTTCCCCACTGGAAGCATGACCCCAAATGACACGCACATGGTGGAAGGGATCAAAGTGTGGAGGGGGTTGATGTGCAGAGTCTCCGACTGGACAGAGAAGTACGCAATGAAGAAGAACAAAGGGGGTAAAGAGAGAGTAATGAAGAAAAAAGACAAGTGCGAAGAGGAGAGGTGAAATGGTTGGGAGTACAGAAAAATGTAGGAGGGAAGATAAAAGAAAAAAGGATGATAAACAAAAATTGAACAAATGGGAGAAAGAGAAGGTCAGAGTTACCAACTGCTACAGAAGTTGATATGACACTTAAAAAACAACATTTTCACATAATATAATCATAAAAATGTTTGTCTAGAATTAACGTCACAACTGACCCATCCTGTCGCTATGGTGTCATACTTTTGCAATGTGGGGAAAAATTAAAAAAAATTGCACATGTACAATTTTATCTGCTGTTACAATGGTAAGCATTTTAAGGTTGTTTGTTTTTGTTTTTTTTAAACTGAGCTTTAAAACATGCAACAAGAGTGGTAATAAAAACCCACAGAGGCCGACAGACATCACTGACTATATTTTAAGGGCCGGTTGAGATTACATAGAACAAGACAAAAATCATTAAAACATGTTAAAAAAAAAAAAAAAGACTTTAGCCTTAATGAATGCAGTGTAGTTTGGAGCCGGAAGCAGGGTTCATACATCATCAGTTAACAACTGGACAGAGGTGAAGTATTATGGCACCTGCTGTGAAATAAAAAGAGCCTTGATGTGCACTTTATGAGTAAGTGCACGAGGAACAGGCGCCATTCTGCAATAAAATGGCTTGTGACGTACTGGTGAGAAAACGTCACCACTGACAGCTAAAATGGATTATTGCCAGTACAGCAGTTTTTGGGGGGGTTCTGAGTAAAAGGGTCATAATGTGCAGATGCACAAATATTTTTCCCCTACTCTTACATGTGTTTGTGCTGCTATCCCAGTATAGTATAAGAGTATAAATAACACAGGTTGTTTTTATGGAAGCCCGTTTCCGCCAATTAAAAAAAAAAAAAAAAAGGATCCATAACTCAAAATTCCAAGTTATTTTCTCGAAATTTCGATTTATTAACTCAAAATTTTGAGAAAAGTAACTCGAAATTTCGAGTTAGCGCTGCCAATCAGTAATCTACGTGAATGACGTCATTTCCTTGTTACCCGGAAGCTGAAGCCCTCAGCTACAAATGCTACAGCTAAGCTACCAGTATTACATCCAGTCGTGAATGCACAGATTGCTGAGTGTTTTCAGCCTGGCTTCACAAATGATGAAATCCCTGTGTTATTAGCTGAATCACATGGTGTTACTATCAGCAAACATACTCGCGAAAGCGCCAATTTGTTGGGATCCGTTTTTGAGTGCGCGGTCCTCTGCGCCATATGCTTCCGGTTAACTAGAAAGTGACCTCATTCACGCATATTTTTGATTGGCAGAGCTAACTCGAAATTTTGAGAAAAGTAACTCGAAATTTCGAGTTAGGGATACTAGCTTCTTTGTTTTTATTTAGTGGCGGAAACGGGCTTCCATATGTTTTAGATATCTATATGTATATAAAAAGAGAACTCGGCCTCACAATCAGTGCCACTTGCCTCAAGCTTTACATTGTTTGCACTGTTACACGCACGCACTTATGTAACGGTTATGTAACCAGTACTATTTAGACCACCTGGTAAAGATTATTCAAATTCGTGGCCCACATCAGAAGTAATTAGCACAGTTTAAAAATGAAAAAGTATTTTCAAGCAGCACATTAGTGCAGACCTGTTAGACTGAATATCCTCCAGGTCATTTATGTGAGTGTTTTTAATGATTTATGACATTTTTATGATCATTAATGAGGAACAGGTGTTGCGATATGAAAGAGAATATGTCGTACCAGCGCAGACAGGATGGGCAGGAAGACGGTGAGAGTTGCTGGGTTGGAGGCGAACTCTGTGACCGCAGAAACCAGCAGGCAGGCTAGCAGGGTGACCGCCCAGGGAGGAAGACCACTCATGGGCTCCAGCTGTCTGCCAATCCACACTGACAGGCCGGACACCTACACACAAACGCAACATTAATCAGCTTTCTACATGCTGTTCATATCCCCACCATTACCTAATGTAATAATATGTGAAATGATTCTTCTCTTTTATAGCTACAGTCTCTTGTAGATACGTGTTGAAATCACATTAACTCCATCAAAGTAATCAAGAAATTCATAATGGTGAAAATGGATCGCAGATTCAGATTACCCAGATGCTATGATGCCAGAGCAGTAGAGTAATACAAGAACACACAGACATATATTCGTAGTACCTTGCAGCCCGCTGCCAGTGCATAGCCTCCACCAACCAGGATGACGATCTCCCACGGCATGAGTCTCTGGAAGTCCTTCCAGGTGATCATGGGAGCCAGTGGGTCAGACTCTGAATCATCATCTAATATTTTAAAATGACAGAAAAAAATGTCAATAGAGCAGGATCTGGGGGAATAATATCATGTAATACTTGTGGTTGACAAACACTTGAAAAGTCATTTATTTTACCAAATCTCAAATGAATGGCTCACAACATCTGTAATGTGCTGTTAAAATAATCTGAGGTAGTATACGAATGTTAACGAAGCTAGCTGAACAACATCACTGAGCCCTTTTTTATTATTCAATATGTTTTAAAGCCACCAAATGGAGCCCTGATGAGACAACCCAAAGGTGTTCGAGTGCTGACCTGAGTTTTTACAGCAAGAGGAGGAAGAGAAGGGCCGCCTGGCAGGGATGAGGAAGAGGAGGAAGCCCAGAAGAACAGACACCGTTGCATCAGTCCTGTAGCCTTTCCTGAGAGAGAAATTAAGAATACACAGATATAAAACAGATAATGCAAAAGTACTCTAACAGAGGCCAAAAATCAAAAATATGGCGTATGAAAAGAGCATAAGCACTCCTTACTAAGTGTCTATTATACCTGCTCTATGTAACAGGGTGTGTATTTGTTACGGAGAACCAGTGCTTCCCTAAAGTGTCTGACCACTAACACTTCTGAACGTTTGTGGTGATCCGGCGCGACATTATCAGTACTTACTTTTCAAAGAGCGACGTCCAGCCGGGCACAAAGCCAGGCTCTCTGGTGAACCACAGCAGTGTCATCAGGATGAAGAAAACACCTGTCACCACCTCTGGGTAGCTGCACACACAATCCACAAAAGCGTGTCAGCAACAATTACATGAGTGACAACACGATGGGGACAAAATGTCACGTCTGGGCTCGTGAGTAAGATGCAAATGCATAGCTTATATTTACACACAGGTGAATTTAGTCCTTTAAATATACATAAAAAGTGGAAGAGTTGACATCAGAGTTGGAATTTCGGGAAATTATTTTTCATCGTTTCAGCTCTGGCACACACCTGATGGGTCCCAGCTTTGCGTACTCCTCGTGGATCCTCCTCTCTGACAGCATCTCTCTCCTGGTTTTGCGTTTCTTACTGAGTGAGCAGGTTTCTCTGAAGCTGAACACACAGACAGCAACAACAAGATCAACCACACGGTGACCTGATACGGTCGCTTTGTGCTTTTCAAGCTGTAGCCTCAACAACATACAGGCAGCAGGATTACCATGAGTCCATAATGACAACATGGAGATGTGGGCAAGTAGGAGACCCACCTCTGTAATCACACCCCTGCCTGTGACCATTAGCACAGCAATTAGCAACATAGTACACACACAAAGATCCTCGAACGGGCACTCACTTGCAGCCGAGGAAAAGGAAGTGCAGCCACAGCCAGGTGAGAACCAGCATGATGATGGCGATGGGGAAGCTGAAGATGAACCATGTGCCAAAGTTGATCACCTTTGCGTCTGGATAACGGCTGGAAAGACAGTTGGAAACAGCAGCTTTAAACCACACTCATCGGTCGTATTCATTTCACTTTAATGTGTAATATACGCATTGCTACACACTGCCTCTTTAGGGGCTGAGCCTCATGACTTGTGACGGCATGTGTCACGGCCGATAAAAATGGAACCTTATCACGTTTAAAAATAGCCGATTAACTCACATCAGCTACACACATTGTTTGCTTTGACTGACAGATGTTGTCTTATTTACTTATCTGTGCAGCATTACAGCTGACTGTCCACACTGATAAGACTGTGACTATCACAGCTCAGAGAGCTATACTACACTACTGGACGGAAGCCATAATGGGTCACCGAAATTCTCTTAAGAAACACTTAAGAAGCTTCTATAGAGCAGAACGCAGTTACAGAGTAAAGCAGCAGCATCTATCTATTTTAAAAGAAGAGAACCAACATGACATACCAGAAAGGATGCCACTTTCTAATATTCAGCCTTATATATAAAGCTTTGTAATATCTTTAACATTTGCTATAACAAAAAATGTGTGGAGGGACTTGTGTAGCGCCCCCTTGTGGATAAGAGAGCAGCCAAAAAGTATCCATTAATGCCCTACATCTGAGTTCACATTCACACTCATATGAGGAGTAACTCAGGGATACTTTAGCATGCAGCCTGGAGCATCCAGGGGGAATCAAACTACCAACCTTCCCCTTACTGTAGTAGACGACCTGCTCTAACCACACGGTTGCTACACACTTCTGCAATATACTATTAATATTTACAACCCTTTATTGATAACCTATTGAAAGGTAAGTTTATCACCTAATTAAATGTATTCATGTTTAAAGAGTAGTGCTGTTCATACATCTAGAACAGTGGTTTCAAACATAAGGCCCGGGGGCCGGAATTAGCCCAGCAACTCCTCCAATCCTAGAAGGTTTTGGAAAATGTGTATAAATTAGGAACTTTTGACTGTATTTTGAGAAGTTTTCCAGGTTTCCCTACTGACAAAACCTTCTCCATTGCCATTCATACTGCAAGAAACTAACAGATACACAGGAAAATGACAAAAAAATGTTCCTGTTTTTCAAGATTTACTATATTTTCCGTGATTAACTAGAACGTCTATTTAATTTAACACATTTGTCATGTAGAAAAGTTGAAATGTACTGTTGAAACTGGACTTCTTTTTCTGATATTAAGAGTTATCAGGGATTAAATGTTGAGTGAAATGTCTTTATTCTGACAGAAAGGGTTGATTCGCTGATACGATTGATACGATCAAAGTGGCCCACCGTGTAGTTTGACGTCCCTGATGTGGAATGTTTAGGTGTTAGTTGCTCAGATTTGGAGATACTTTGAATCTAGAATCCACTGGAACTAAATGACATTCACTGTTGCTTTCTAAGCTCATAAATGGTTTCAGTTGTTTGTTTTTTCAAAGATTAAGTTTTTATTCTTATTTTAGCTAATTAAAATGTTGTTGTTTTTTCAGTTAACTATATATCCTTGGTGATCTCTGTACCCTAATTCCACCCAGTGACAGCTGGGATAGGTGAGGATAACCTCCCCCTTTTTTCCACAGAGAAAAAGAAATCTGAGAAAACTGTGAGGAGACCATATCATCAACATTAATAGCCCTCTGTGTAGTGTATCAGTAGTTTATGATTAGTGCACTTTAAGCTATAAGACAAGTTGTTGGTCTCCACTGTTGTTTCATTTAAAGCTATATAGGTAATAAAGTGTGTTTGCTCTGATATGCTTCACTGCTCTGTAACGACGCTAAGCAGAGTAAAGGTGACATGCAAATACGGTGATCACGTATCTGCTGCACAAACAACTCTGCCATGCCTTCTCTGACCTCCGGGCATTCTCATCGTGGATGGAAAAGTGAAAGCCAGCCAATAAAAAGTATGGGAAAATGACTGGGCTGCTTGTCATCCTCTGAGGATCATAGATATCTGCATCAAATTTTACAGATCCCATCACCTAGATAATATGAGGGGAAAACCCCATCAACCTCATAGCTCGACAGAAAGAATCAGGGAAAACATAGACCTCTGGGAACCATGAGTTTCTATATAAAATAACAGCAGAGAGAAAAAATGAGATATTTCAGGCAAATCGAAAGTTTCATTTCTAGAGCTTTTAAGATTTCATCTTAACACCAAATTGCATTTTAAAAAGAACTAAAGTAATAAAAATCATAATATGTTGACAACATCAGTGTCAGTGTCCATCAGGATTTCCTGTGCTGGGTTAAATTTTATGATCCGTACTAAAGAGACACATTTAAAAACGCTGACAGTCTGCTGGCAGGGCTCTGGAGCCATGAAACACTGGATTCGTTGCACAGTTTAAATAGTTGAAACCCAGTTTACACGAGTATCTTTAATAAGAGCAGAACTTTCACCACTGAAACACAAAATCCAGCTTCTATTACCGCAAAATTACGTACAAATGGAGACAGAGAACAATTAAGCACACAGTGGAGGGGGTAATAATTCAAAGATGCAGTCCTGTCAGAAAAAAACAGAACTAAATTTTTAAAGTATCTCACTTAAAAAAAAACAAAAAAAACAGCCTTTCATCAGCAGACAAAAGTGGAAAAAAGTTATAAGATGTGAGGCTTCAGCACAGACGTACATAAAAGATGGATGTTGCTAGCAGGATTTTTTTAACCTAGATCTCATATGGGTATTATTTGTCATTATGGTAACCAGCCTTTACTTGTCTTTATAGTCCTTTTTAACTCTAATGGGGACCATAATGTATCAAATGAGCATTACAGTGTATTCAATGAGAATTAAGATAGCGACTGGAGACCATAAACTCATCAGGAAAATGTTTACTGAGATTATAGATCAAGCCAACGTTGGCAATCAGTCAGAGACTTCAACATAAACTGACTTTAAAAATAAAACCAAATATCCTGATGTCAGTTTTAGGATACTACATTTCTGAATCATCAGTTAAAAATAAAAAGAGTTGATTCAGAAAGCTATGAGTAATGATATGTTTGCAGTTCCATTCAATCCTATTTTATTCATATAGCACCAAACCATAGTTGGCTCAAGGTGCTTTATATTGTAAGGTAAAGACCCTACAATAACAGAGAAAACCTAGCAGCCTAAGTCTACAGCAGGGTAACTAAGGAAGGATTCAGGGATACCTGATCTAGACCCAACTATAAGCTTTACTAAAAAGGAAAGTTTTAAGGGTTCTTTTAAAAGGAGACAGATTATCTCCCGAATCAGAACTTCCATAGAAGAGGGGCCTGAAAGCTGAAGATTCTCCCTCCCATTCCATTTTCAATATTATAGGAACCACAAGTAAGCCAGCAGTCTGAGAGCAAAGTGCTCTACTGAGGTGATACAGTACTATGAGTTTCACAGATAAGACAGAGCCTGATTGTATGTGAGGAGAAAGATTTTAAACTCAATTCTGGATTTAACAGACAGAGCCAATGAAGAGAAGCCAGTGTGGAAGAAATCTGCTCTCTCTTTCTAGTCCTTCCCAGTACTCTTTCTGCAGCATTTAGGATCAACTGAAAGCTTTTCAGGAATATTTACAGTAGTCCAGCCTAGAAGTAATAAATGCATGGAATAGTTTTTCAGCATCACTCTGAGACAGGATGTTTCTAATTTTAGAGATATTGTGCAAATGCAGGAAAGCAGTCATTACAGTGTTACTGGAGGCCAAGGTAATGCCATCCAGAGTAAATATCTGGTTACATACAATGTTTCTAAGATATTTAAGGGCCAAGTACAATAACCTCACAATTGGAGGTCTTCTAGGTCATTAGGTCTTTAAGAAATCCCTGCACTTTAATTAATTGGAGTGTGTTATCTGGCTTAATGGATATATAAAGCTGGGTATCATCTGCATAGCAATGAAAATGTACACAGAATACTGCCTGAGTGATGAATGAATAATTTGAATAGAACTGGTCCCAGGCAGAACCCTATGAAACTCCACAAGTAGCTAGCTAAGAGAAACCTGCAAACAAACAGCTAATTTTCAGCTTCTAAAAGTTAGCCGGGTACTAAAATAACCCTCCGATAAATCTAACATTGCTTTGTTAGCGTCTCTGCCCTCATTCACATATCATGGGACTGACAGTGACAAGTCCTCCACTTCGTGTAGACACATACTCATGTGTCAAAAGCATATAGCATAGATAAAAAGGCTTTTTTGTTTAATTTGTCTGTATGTTTGAATTTATTTTTAAGTTTGGTTGTATTTGTGCAGCACTGACTAAAATCACATCCACAATCTGTACAAATATGCTTTTCAAAGCAACTGATGTCAAGTTTATCACTTGTTGTACGAGCATGGACTCCAGTTTTTGGATCAACTAAACTGAATAAGTACACACAATCAACGAATTTCAAGCTTAAATCTCTAATCTATGAGATTTTACTTTACACTGCTTAGACTTGTTGCTGTCCCTGTTAGCATCACAACTACTAGCACACATGCAATCCCACACAGATCAAAACCTGACCTTTGTCCACAAGCTGTGACATGAAGGAGGCTATTCTGTCAGGCAGTGGCCAGATGAAATCATCTCTGTGAGCACTGTAGAGGCTGATTAGTTTGATCTCTTGTGGCCCCAGACACTCAGCTAACATAAACTTTTTCAAAATAGAGAACACAGCAGCCAAGAAATCAACCAAGCTGTAAACATGTCTGAGAACTGAGGAGATGTCTGCAGTCATCCAAAGCCATTACAGACCAGCATCTCTCTCTGGTTCTGAACGGTTTGTAAAGTAGATTAAATATTACTGTCAACAGATTTTGGAAGCTTATTTAAATCATTACATAAGCAAGCGTTTGTGTAGATACCACATACGTGAGCATACTTACGTGTTAAACTGTTCAGCAAAGATGAGGTTGGTTGACGTGCCGGTGATGGTGATGAGTCCTCCGATGGTCGCTGCATACGTGATGCTTAGTGACAGGCATTTACAGATCATGTGATCCCTTTTGGTGGGATACTGGGAGTCTCTTCTCATCTTCACCCTCTTTACATTTGGGATTTCAATCTCAACCTAGAGTGATGAAAATGTTGTAAACGAAGAGCAAACATGAGAAGCAATCAGGAAGATTGCTTCTAGCTCTTGTTTCCAGCAACATGGCTCTGGCCCACCCACTTCACTGACACACTGCTCACCTGTGGCAGGTGGCCGTTGGTGTTTTTTATGCATTCCTGGTTTGAGATGGGCTTGAGACCCAAACCGTTGACCTCAGCGGTTTTTGTCTGAAAACAACAGAATACCGAATCAGTGAAAGCATATAGATTTTTCTGTGGCTAATTTCCACATTCTGTGTACTTCACACACACACACACACACACACACAAACACGTCACTTACGTCACTTAGTGTGGAGAGCTCCTGCTTATTGTTGTCATTGCTGAAATAAGAAGAGAAGAAAGAAAATCAGTATGGTTGTGTGAGAGAAAATTGACTTTACTTTGGTTAAAATGAGTGAGACTGAAGGAAAACAGTCATTTGATGTAACTTATTAGCACAGATAAAGAGGTAAAATCCTTGCAGAAATACCACAGAACCCTGTGTAGACAACTTAAACAGACATTCACATATCATCGAGTGTACACTGCATAAATAAAGACCCAAAATGTCCACAGACACATACCAGTTGTTGCGGTAGAGCAGCTCTAGCTGGTTCTTGTCCAGGTTCTCCTCTTTGTCTGGCACAGCTGCAGAGAAACACGGGCATCGTCAAGTCAATGACAGAAGTAGTTTGAAAAGTTTGACTGTTTGCCTGTTAACAGGAGACCCTCTCTGCTACAGCACCTCAGCTAGCTTCTAGCTAATGTCCACACTGGTGCAAGCACTGTTGTTATATTTGCAGAAATGTAGTGACAGACCCAGACATACCACTGTCCTCTTCAGGCACCTCTGCTGTTTCAGAGTCGACATGACTGTCTGCCAGACCGGTGCAGATCAGCTGCTGCAGGACGGCCTCAGCTATGGGCATCACCATGGCTGTGGTGGATGTGTTGCTGAGCCACATGGAGAGAAATACGGTGCAGCACATGAAGCCCAGTACCAACCTGCACAAGAAGGAGGTCATTTTATACTTTTGTGTGTGTGTGTGTGTGTGGGGGGGGGGCACATTATGACTACATTTACCATCATTATAGTGTTTAAATGTACAAAAGTGTGATGCTCACATGCCAGGCTTGGCCCCTGCAATCATCACCATCCTCAAAGCAATCCGTTTATGAAGGTTCCACTTCTCTATGGAGGCCGCCAGGCAAATGACTCCCATCAGCAGCAGAGTTGTGTCTTTGCAGTACTCTGCTGCTACCTGAACACGCACAGAGGTACAAAAATTATCACTTCAAATGATAAGTCTACATCATTTCAAACTAATTCAACAGATGCTGGGAAAATAAACAAAATGAGATGTTGTAGGCAGGAAGAAGTTCCGAGACCCTCCTTTCACTCGATCCACCCTCCCTCGTACAGGATCAGCACTTACGGTTTGTTGTTCTTAATCTGCTCTACTTCCCATCAGCAGCGTTCACAGGTCTGCAGCGTTACATAATCCCAAGTGCACTCACCTAAAATCTTTTAATTTTCCTTATTAATAATACATTTTATTTTAAAATAGCGCCTTTCAAAGCACCCAAGGACACTGTACAACAGATAAAAACACAGAAACTGGAAATATACACAATAATAAGAATAACAGATAAAAGTTAGAGCATACAGAGGTTTAAACATAAGCAATTTTAAACAGATGAGTTTTGAGGGTGGACTTAAAAAGAGGGAATGAACTAATATTTCTGAGGTCAGGGGGTAAAGAATTCCAAAGTCGAGGGGCAGAGCAACTAAAAGCCCTGCCCCCCATTGTAATCAGACGAGCGGAAGGAACAGAGAGAGAGGAAGAGAAGATGAAGATCTGAGGCACCGGGATGGGAAGTTCATCTGTACTAAATCGGAGAGGTATGGTGGAGAGAGAGAATATGAATAGCCTTGTATAAAGGACTATTTTAAAATGGATGCGAAATTTAACCGGGAGCCAGTGAAGCTGCTTCAGGATTGGGGAGATGTGGTGGGTAGAGGAAGTCCTAGTAATAATACGGGCAGCTGAACGTTTACACTTTGGTCTTCTTGGGAACAAAAGTACACAGGGTAGGCCCTATAAAAATGTCTCTCCACACTGTTTGTTGTCATATAAGATGTCAAAATCCCATAAATGAACTTTTAAAAACAAGAAACCAACTTTTAGCCTGAATGGGAATCAGACAGATGCTGGAATGCATCCAAGCCTATCAGCTGCTTCACAGTAACAATAACAGCTGTTATTAAGCTGTTTAATAAGTTAAAGAAATGACTAAAATAGCTAAAATCTCAGTGTTGGCTAATGCAAAGCTTAGTAGTGACAGCTCCAGGTTTAACAGACACATAATCATTGCTACTGTATTCACATACAGTGTACAGATTATCCTCCACAGCTGTTTAGCACTGAAACTCGGCTAATCGGTTTTCATTTCAATTTGCAGCTACAAATCCAAGTCATAGTCCTTTCCAATCACTTTAAATACTAGCTTTTTTTATGGAACACTTATGACCGCAGAAAACTTTAACTGTTAACTGGATGAGATAAGATCCTGTGCATTGTTGATGCTCTGATATTCCACTCTTGAGTGGCAGCAGATGAAGACGGAATCTAATCTCTAAATTAGCAGCATTAAAGCAGCAGAAAATGAGGAGATTACAAAAAAATGAAAGTGCTATTATAGACTGGAAATGTTGCATAAAGCTCTCTGCTGGCATATTTATGGAATGCCATCACAAGCAGCTTACAGCAGTGTTAACAGGCAGCTTTTGTCACTGTTTGTCAAGGCGCTTTGGTCATGACTGAGTTTTTATGTAATGCAGATAACAAAGGTAAAGATGATGAAGGTGAGTTTAATTGAGAGGAAACTGTTACTGGTATTTTTTTTTTTTTTAAAGAAAAAAAAAGGGACTGACGCCAATGGCCACCACTATCAGTAACGCCAATCGTACTGTATTAAGGATCGGCAGTGGTGTTAATGGTCGGTAAAGTGTGTGAGAGGCTGGGTGTGGCCATGTGAAGAACACTGAAGAACATCCGTGGGTACTGATGATGAGTGCTGGGTTAATGGGTTCATCTGCACTGTTCACTCAGTCATGTCTAATGAAACCTTCACAGTTGACTGACCATGCCTCTGGTTTACACTGGAGTGTAATAGGATAAGCAACAGAGAACTGTAAATCAAAAAACTGATGTATGTCTGAGGAGCACACACGTGGACCAAATTTCTTTAAGCATACATAGCACAGTCCAGAACTCAAAAACCATGCACCGTCTGATCTGTACGTATATTTTTACTACCACCTTTTTCTTTCTTTTCTTGCTTTAATGTTGCTTTAGAAAAAAATTAGCAAACCCGCAATAAAGTAAGACAATGCAGTGTCTAAGGAGAATATTCTTAATTATTCAATAACCTCTTCCTATTAACATGGACATAACTCTACTTAAACAGATATATAGAGATCTGTACAGCAGATTTTTACTTTATAAAAACTGTAAACACTGTAGAAATTGATGAAATTTGTAAAAAAGAAAACCTACTGGGGACTCCTATGCCTCATACTGTACAGTTACAAGAACACTTATAATAATGTATACTTTATTGATCCCCATAGGGGAATTACTCTCTCTGCATTGGACCCATTCAATCAGTGGGCAGCCACTAAGCAGGCGCAGCATGTAGGGACAGTACTTTGCTCAGGGGTATCTCAGGGTAGCCGTTCAGTGGATTCGAACCCCAGAACTTCCGACGATGGGGAACCCACTCTACCTACTGAGCTATCCCTGCCCCACTTGTTTAATTAGCAAAAAGCAAAAACCTTAACAAGAATCTGACCAAGACTTTTGTACTGCTACAGGAGTCTCAGTCCTGGTGCCTTTTCAAACTGAAAGAACGGAGGAGGATATTTGCATAATAAGGCAAAGTTTTAACAAAAGACATCCAGAATTAGGATGTAATAAATTAAAGAATAATTGTTATCGTTTAGATTTACTGCACTGTGTCAAAGCTGTAATTTGCCTTGAAAATAGTTAGCTACGTGTGGTGCTGTAGCAGGATTTGCAGCACATGGCTGTGTGGGAATTATATCATTTTTATATTATGTTTATTCTTCTATATCCTTTTTATTAAGCTTTGAGTAGTGGCATTTGATGAGAACATTTATTCAATTTATTGAACATATAGTTTTAATCATGTTATTACACACATTGCATATGTGCTCATGAAAGAGTTAAGCACTCAGTCCTGTGAAGGTCAGAAGCTTCGTTCAGTGTGACTGTCTATCCTATTTTACAGTGCTTTTCAATGTTCAAACAGGCATTTTAATCACAAGACACATTGAAAACCCGAGAAACATGATGTGAAAATCTCCATACAAAGACAGAAAAAAGTGGAATCAGCACACACAGCATTCACTGGTGCACAGAATGACACTAAGATTAAGATATTGTCTTTTCAGAAATTGAGAGCAGGCGATGCTAAAACTTCCTCCAATTTTCAAACATGCAAGCAAAATTTTAGGTATTTTGTGGGACACTGAACTGTCTTTTAGCACCTTGTACCAATCAGTTTAAGATTTCACTTATAACGCATTAAAGCGTGAGGTCATAGTCATAGTGTCTCTGCCCTGCATGTTCTAACCCGACTATGTGAAACTGCCACAATCGGTCGCGTTCATTCTGAAAAACGGGATCTTTGTTTTTCTTTGCTCTCCTTCTCTGCCAGGCTCTGCAGTTATGAAAAATCAAAACTTTTAGCTCACAATAGATGCTACAATTTTCAATATACAACTCACTCTTAATTTGGCATCTCAAATAGAGTTTATAAGACAGGTTTCAGAGAACTGAAGCTCAAACCAGACAATCAGCTGGAAAGAAGGACTCACCTCACTGGACTTGAGTACACCAAAGAGCGGGTAGAGGAAGGCTGGGACCAGAGCAGCAGCACCCAAGGGAACAGCTTCAGACACCCAGTAGACGGCCGTCACCATCAACACATAAGCACAACACGCCTCCTGCAACCCCCAAAAAAGTCTGTCGATATCATCCACACAATAAGCAATACAGAAAAAAAGACACAGGTCTCTATAGCAATTGCATTATTATTTTAGATTGGTAGCAACATTGTCCACACACACACATCCATGTGTGGATGTGCTCACATGGATGTGTGTGTGTGGATGTGCTCACATGGATGCGTGTGTGTGGATGTGCTCACATGGATGCGTGTGTGTGGATGTGCTCACATGGATGCGTGTGTGTGGA